GCTATGAACATGAGTACACAAATATCTGTTTGAGTTCCTGCTTTCAGTTCTTTTGGATACTCATACTTACCCCAAAGTGGAATTGCTGGATCATATGGTAATTCTATATTTAATTTTTTGAGGAGTCAGCAAACTGTTTTCCGTAGTGGCTGCACCATTTTACGTTCCCACCAGCAATGCACAAGGGTTCTGCTTTCTTCACATCCTTGTCAGCACTTGTTAGAAAATGCCCATGTTTTTAGTAGATCTGTACAAGGTAGGGCTGAGGACGGAGAAGAGTTACTCATCACTCATTTCCTGCAGAGCAGCCATGCCCCACCCATAGAACTTCAGTTCTGTACCAGCTGACGGGCAGTGTGGCCGTCTGCCTGGGCTGCTTTCACTCTTAGCTGTGACAGTGCCTGTATCTTCCATGTGTGCCTGTAAAATTTTTATCATGTCTCTAAAAAGAAAGACTTTCCGAGAAAGAAGAACAACTAAACACTCTGTGATTTAGTGATACACATATATGTAGTAAAACTGTTACTTTTTAAAAGGCAAAGGAATGCTGGACACTATTCATGATAGTAGGTACCTTTTGGGCAGAGGTGGGGGATGGCTTCAGGGAGGAATACCACAGTGGTGGTTGTGTTCCAGTCTTAAGTTGGGTGCTGATTTCCTTGGTGCTTTATGATTATGTTTCATTACCTCCGTTAATTACACATGTCCTTTTGTATGTATAATATTACATACTTTACATTTTAAATCTTGAACCAATAACTTTTATTCCTTAGGGCTATGGTTCCTACATGTAGGCCAAAGATCTGGTGCTGGTCTGAAATTTCCACTGGTATAATCTGAGACAAAAAGAGAAAATAGAGCGAGTTTTATAAAGCTAAATTTATTCAGTTTCGAGGATTGTATATATTCTTTAATTATGTCCTCCCTGTTTTATGTGGTGTTAAAAGGAGTTAAGAGGATGCAGTTTGTTGTTTTGTTTGTTTTATTGTCCTTAAAAATGGCAAAGAGAAAAAGCAGATGACCTTGTGTAAGGTCATTACCATTATAAAGATGTTTTCTCTGGTCCTTGAAATAAAAAATTCTAGGAATTATTGCCCCAGAGAACACAGCACTGTATTCAGTAACCAAACACCAAGCCTGATGATACTCAATACAGTGATTTCACTTACTGCTCTTTTCACAGAATGTATCTCTCTAATTTAAAAAGCTAGTTTAGAAGAAGCGTTAATTGGCCCTATCTAAAGACTCATGAGTAAATTTTAATTACTCAGCAAAGACGTACTCTAACCTCCCAGGAGCTGGATTCTCAAATATCAGCTAATGATAATCACAACTCACATTCATTGAGCATTTACTCTACCATTGACTATTTTGTATAGATTGTCTCAATCTTCAGAAATTTTCTTACTCCTGTTTAACTGATAACTAAAACTTTTACTAATATCTTGCTCAGTATCCATAAGTGAAAAAAAAGGGGAGCTGGAATTAACGGTTTGACAGTTTGACACTTCATCAACACTCTTAGCTACTACTTAATTGTATACCACACATGGCACCGTCATCGAAAAGCCAAACATTAGGGGCTATAAAATAGGTACTGAGCACTAAATTCAGAACTTCGCCCTCTCCCTTTCATTACCTCTCATTTCTTGAACTGTCTGATATTTAAGGAGTCCAGAATCATAGAGCTTGAAGGGGGAATGCTAAGCTCACTGGAAACATTGCTATTTTACCATTGTGGTCTTCAAGTGCACTTGCAGGCAATGACCTAATGGTACTTATGTCTTGTATCCCTCTGAGACATTAGCAGATGCACTGTGTAAATTTAATCATAGGCAAAAGATTGGGGGAGAAAGGAGGAGTTCCAAGCAAACTCCAATGACTGCTGGCTGAGGTATTGTGGGGAGAGTGGGGAAGGGGGTACAGCTGCCAGCTAAGAGGCATAAGGAGATGTTCAGAAGACGAGAGTAAAAAGTTTGGGTGAGCGAGCTTGAAAGGAGGTAGATAGCAATCAGAGACTCATGGGGCTAAGGAGAACATGAATCTCCTCAGCGAGGGGTAAAGGAAAAGCAGAAGAAAGTTCAGAGTGCTTCAAGATAATGTGTTGGTAGAGGAGAAATGGGAAAATGCACTTATAAGGCAGTGAGTTCTAATTCACACTGTAATAAAGTGAAGACTTTGAACTATGCTTCTATTTTCTCATTTTTAGATTCTTTATCTCTCTCTTCACATCTATCCGTGAACATTTGCCAGGATTCTCCCTTAGTCATACAAATTGCCTCCCAGCATTTCAAAATCCTTCTCTTTAAGAATCACTTGCAATTTCTCCCCTTCCTAGCAAGCTCAGACTTCCCTTCTTTCTTCTCCCTCTTTTGACCTCTCTTGTCCACCCTTCTCTTCTTGTGTTAGCTGACTATTACTGTGAAACGAATCACCCAAAACACTGTGGCTTAAAATGACAATGTACTATTATCTCTCACAGTCTTGAGAAATGATGAGGTTCAACTGAGTGGTTCTTGCTCAAAGTCTCTCATACAATTGCGGTCAGATGGTGGTTGGGGTTGGAGTCATCTAGAGACTCCACTGGGTTGGATATCCAAGATGGTGTCTTTATAACATGTCTGGTGCCTCAGACGGTTGGAGACTGACTAGACTGTTCCCTCCCTCCTTTCCTCTCTCCCTCCCTCCATCTCTTCATGCACCATACAGCCTCTCTACATGGTTAGCTTGGGCTTCCTCACAGCATGGAGGTTTCAGAGTAGTTGGACTTCTTACATGGTAGCCATCTTTCCCCAGACAAGCGTTACAAGAAACCTAAGTGAAAGGAAATTCAAAGCTATGGTCTAGCCTCGGAAATCACTCAGCACCACTGTTGCTGCATCTTATTGGTCCAGAGACTGTCACAGAGCCACCCCTGGGAAGGGGGACCACTCAAGGGTGTGAATACAGGGAAGTGTGGTTTATTGGGGGTGGTGCATCTCTCCAAAGAACTAGCTAACACATTTCTCATTTATTGAAATTTCTGTCCCTTTCTCTGCTCCTTATAACTGAAATATCTTAAGTTACTGTCATCTATCTTACTTCACATCCATATTTTTTCTAATTGTTTATATTAAGAGTGATTGAAAGACTTCTTTGAGGAATTCTTATGCATTCTCTCAAATGAATCTTAAGAATATATTTGCGTTTATTGATGTTAAAATTTAAGTACTCAAAAGGCCCTATAGGAAAGCTGTGTGATATTTTTTAGAAAGTCTCTTTGGGAAATCAGATTTGATTCACGTTTGAACCACCAAAGATAACATATCCAACTTAAAAGGCAGATCAGTTTTAGGGAAAAGTGATACACCATCACGTGTGGCTGTCCTGGGGTGAACTCCCCAACAATCTTGCTTTTCAGGCTTAGCCACTAATTAGAAAACCTGTTCTCTTGTTGGGACTGAACCATGGTTTACTTTCTGGTTGGACCTTGTTTTACTTTTATTCAAACTCTTACACAAGCCAAAGCTATTCTTTTTTAACCACCCCCCACCCCGACAAAAGAAAATAACTTGAATATAAAAGATTTGTTGCATAGTCATATGCCAGTTTGAGAAATTCTTTATTTAAAACTTTTGCCTATAGATGGCTTAACTTTCCCTAGCTTCTGCAAATGCCGTTGAAGTCTTAGGTTCTTATAAAGAGTTACTGGCTTTTTTTTTTTAAAGAAGCTAAATCTCCAAAGCTTTTCTCTGGTGATTATGGAGAACAACACATGTGGGAGAAAGTGGGCAGTTGGAGGTGGCAAATAATTTGATTTTTTTTTTTTCCTACCCACAAGCTCTGGGAAAACTCTGCCATAAAGGATTAATTTGCTCATGAGATTTCACTGCGGTTGCCATTAAGAAAAAACTAACAGGAACAGCAGGGCAGAAGCGTTTGCAAGCTCTGGGGAAAAGAGTCAAGGATTTATGGTGGGACACAGCACTCTTTTCTCTCTTTTACAACAATTATGAGTTTAGCATCTGAGGTTGATATCGTTTCTCTCACGCAGGGCTTTGTGTAGACGTCTGAAAGCTGCCTCTGAAGAAGAATAATTAGCAGTTGTAGTTTCCATAACTTGTCTTTATGCAGGGAAAAGATTGCATAAAAAAATAAAAAACTACAACTTTTAGACTCAATCTTTTCCCAATTTTTTAAAAAAGCATTAGAAAATAGCAAGTTGTACACTGGTGATTTGCTTCCACATTGCTGTTCCCGTGCTTGGGTTCTACATGCAGATTAAATGGAGATGCCGGCAGCTTCAGGGCAGAAGTTCCCTCTCTCCCCTGAGTCTTCAGCCTCAGTTTCCGCCAGTAGAGAGTGGGTAATGGACTTTAGTTAGAGCAATATTTTCTAGAAGCTTTACTCTAAACCCCTCAAGGAAGATTTCCACTGAACAGCAGGCAAAATATGAGGACCCTTCAAGCTTCAGGCCCAGGCAGAATGCACTGCTCACCCCCTCTCCCACCACCACGACCCCGACCAAAGGTCTGCTCAGGGCTGCCCTTGGTTATGACAACTGCTTGATGGTGAGAGATGAGCCAACCTGAGGGGGCACAGCAGCAGGAAGGAGAGGGGGCTGCGAGGGGATCATGGGGGCCAGGGTCACCAGACACGTTCTTATTCATGATTTCCTTAGTTTTCACAACTTCCCTGGGAAGTCATATTATTCCCGTGTTTGCAGATGAGGAAACCTGAAGCCCAGAGTTTAAATAACTTGCTTTCATGCAACTTAAACTAAGTATTTAAACCAAATAAAATCTAAGAATTTTATTTAATCCTTGGATAAAATGAAGGATTTTAATCTCAGCCTGTCTGACAGCCTAGCCAATGTGCTTTCCACCACCCCGATCCCTCTCGTGAGCCGTTGGTAACCGGTAATCCACTTATGAATGAAAACGGGGAAACTTTCTTGAGGTGAGCCTGTGGCACTTAGTCAAGTAACAATAGTTGTCACTCTCTCTTGTTTAATCTTGTAGTGGAGTACGACAAGGAGTTCTCCCCTCGCCAGCGACACCACAAAGAGTTCAAGTTCAACTTATCCCAGATTCCTGAGGGTGAGGCGGTGACGGCTGCAGAGTTCCGAATCTACAAGGACTGTGTTGTGGGGAGTTTTAAAAACCAAACTTTTCTTATCAGCATTTATCAAGTCTTACAGGAGCATCAGCACAGGTATGAAGGCTCAAGGAACCCCAAAGGGTGGGGCTGGCCCCCGTTTCTTGCCCTGTCACCGTGTAACCCCGAGTATGTCTGTGGAAGGGATTTGGAGTTCAGGGGCAGCACCTGAGCATGAGGGGTGTGTTCTGAATGGTAGGGTTGAGCTGGCAGGAAGATTTCTTACTATTAAATTGAAGATTTCCCAAATAGTTTTCTTCTCCTAAGCAAGCCAGTGAATGGTATTTACTAAGCATCCTTTGTGATCAGAGAACATATGACTTATTGGGGATAAAATGTTTCCCACTATCATGTAGTCCCTACTTTGAATGATCGGTGAGGGTGGCTAAAATAAATTCGCACGTGAAAATTATATAAGGATGCTTACAATGATACCAATTCAAGTGAATAGACGGCTATGTATTTGTGCATGTAACATATATATATATACACGATATATTATGAATGAGTGTGTGTCTCAAATATATTTTTTATCATTTGGATACAAGGGAACAATAGACTTTTTTTCCATGTCTGTATTATTATTGTTTCCTGAAATGAGGCAAGACTGTTTGGCCAGTGAACTGCAATGAAGTGTGTTCATGGGGCTGCCTAGAAATAAAGAAAAACTTCCATGGAATGATTTTTGGAAGATTGGAAGGACTGAGGGCTGAAGTTATTACAGCAGTTAGTTCAAACCTATAATGCACAGAAAACAGGCCAATGACCTTGAATTTTGCTTAGTATTTAGAGGTCAGTTTAGCAGTGTGGTAAGAATAGAGTGCCTGATGCACAGTAGATTCACATTGCTGCATAGTTCTCAGTATGCAGAGGTGGAAACTCAGCATGTGATGTGACAGCCTGGCCATTATATGGTAGCTATGAAGATAAAAATTAAAGGAAGAGAATGCAGAGGGGGAGGGAACCCCACATTTACAGACTCGGTAAGGGATTTGCCAGCTCTGGTTTTATAAACCAAGCCCAGATTCTTGCTTTTGGTCTTGGAAGTATTGACTTCCCAAGAAAGTCCAAAGGTTTAGGAATGACTTTGCTTTATCCTAAGGTTGTGGATCTGTGTGTAGGTCTGTCACAAATATGCACGCTAAAATAATAACAGTCATTAACTTGCCCCATAGAAGGTTTATTTTAGGGGCTGGCCTGGTGGTGTAGTGGTTAAGTTCGCATGCTCCACTTTGGGAGTCTGGGGTTTGCAGGTTCGAATCCTGGGCGCGGACCTACGCAGCGCTCATCAAGCCATGCTGTGGTGGCGTCCCATATACAAAATAGAGGAAGATGGGCACAGATGTTAGCTCAGGGCCAATCTTCCTCAGCAAAAAATAAAAAAGACAAAAGGTTTATTTTAGTTTTGAGAGCATTGCCAACATTTGGCCCTTATGCATATTCAAGTCTATGATGTGGGAAATAAAGAAGGAAGGACACCTGCCAGGCTTTGGGGACATGTCATGGTGTTGAGCATACACACTGATGGTTGTATGTGAATTCTTAGCTAGAAGAGTTAAATACTAAGTAAAACATAGTCATTGTGGTGTCTTTATAATGGACCAGAATTTCAGAATGGCTAGGAAGTTTTCTGATGTCTGATTTTCACTCCTAAATAAAAATATATTCAATGACTTAACTGTTAAGGGCCTCTTTTGAAAAATAAATTATTCATCGCTAGATTTTTGTCTTTCAGTACTTCAGAGAGGATTGGTATTCAGTAGTTCTTTGGAACTGGTTTAGCCATTGATTTTCAATCTGCCTAATTACTTGTTCCATTATATTATTCTGGCAGAAATAACCTACTGGTACCTTTTTGGCCCAGAACTTTGTTTGAAATGCATGGTTTTCACTGTCCTGTGGGAAAAGCTTTATAGCGAAAACACTAGCTTGGGGGTTTTGTGACTATGGAATTTGTTTTAATTATTATTGTTTTAAAAAAAGAAAGAGCTAGCAGACCATTTGTAAGGTTTATATTGAACTCTAGCCAAAAACAAACAGCTGCTTTATGCTTAAGATGGTGGTGTCATACTTCCTCGAGGCCAGCGGTGTGTTTGGAAAACAAGATCCCAAACGGTCCCAACCTTTGATGACTCTCTGTCAAAGCAGAGTCGTAATTTCTCTGCCTTCTAGGATGGGAGTATTTGGCGATTGGATGTGTTTAATTTTTGTGCATAGGAAAGGGGAAATCCTGGGAGAATTGGGAGAATTTCGTGCTTTTGAAGGGTTCCAGGTTGGCCAGGAGGAGATTTTTGTTTTCTTATCGGTGGGCCAGGAGCCCAGGCCTCCTGCTGTCTGCTCATGTTCTTCCAGAGGCCTCCAGATTTAACTGCAGGACTCCTTCTGGGAAAGGTTTGATCTCCCCATCTGTACCCTCTTGGGGTTTCTTGGCTGAAAACAATTCTCCAGGCTTGTGAAGAAACATATTTGTCTAATCTGCGTTTAAGTGAAATTTGTAGTATTTGATGGATTAACTTAATTTTAACAAATGTTTGTGTTGCAAAATAGTTGGCCTCCTTGAAAAAGAAAAAAAAAAAAAGGCAGGTTTTTCAATGCTGAGTCATACCCTCAGCTGAGGAAAAGAAGCTATGTCTTGGGCCTCCTGACGTAAAAGGCAGCTAGGAGGCCTGACCCGGGGAGGGCAGAAAAGATTCTTGGGAGATAGGCCATTGCTGGGAACTCTGCAGAAACATGTTCCTCTGACTAGGAGATCATTGGACCAGGTAAGTTCAAAAAAGTGACTACTTGAGTAGATGGTGCTTTGAATAAGAACAGGGAAACCTTTGATACTTGATTCAAAACCTGAGAATAAGCCCTGAAATAGAATCTTAGTCCTGAAAAGATCTGGAGCAACCCGTAGAGCAGGGTGGGATCCACAACCCAAGAGCGTGCACGGGTAAATCAGAACAGCCCGGGACGCCCACTTTGTGTTCTTCATTGACTCTATGGTATGGAGTGGTGTTTACGTTTTCAGATGAGTCTGGTGTTAATATCTGGTATTATAAATCATTATGTTTTTATGATGGCACTAGTAAAAACTGGCATTTATATAGAACTTAGAGTTTGGAAAAGACCTTCTCAGATATTCCCTCGTTAGGATTTACCATGACCCCACCAAATAAGCAAGGCAGGCCTGTCACCTTTCAGAGAATGAAAGGTGACACGTGTGAATTTTGCCAAGTCCAAATTATGCCCAAACTGTTGTCTGCTCTGCTTCCCAAAAGTCACCCCGATGACATGGAGGCAGTCCTGAGATAAAAGTGAAGTGCCAGGAAGAGGTATAAGCAGTCTCCTCATGGCCTACCCACCTCTCCACCTCTTTAGCCTCAATGCCAACATCCCCAGGATGCTTCTGTTTAGATGGCAAATGAGACAGCTCTGTTGGGGGTGAAAATGTGTCTGTCAGAATTCAGGCCCTGGTACTTTGACTGTCAAGGCGTTCCTAAGGAAAAGCTTTGCAAACCTTTGTTGATCTGTTCATCAACCATCGATCATTAGCAGCTTTTCTGAAGGAGAGGTGTGGAGGGGAAGAAAGACTAGAATAAATTTATACAAAAGTGTTTCTACTTATTCACAGTATTATACACTTGTCCATTTACTTTACCGTTTTCTTCCACATCTCACACACACTAAGCTGTCTTTATACTTGGAGTGTAAAGGCTGCTGTGAAGAACTGTCAACCTTTCACATTCACATTTAGTAGCGTGATGGTAGCGCGTTACTTTTCACAACATGTACTCAGGATCTTTACTTCTATAGCACCATTAGATTAATAGTGCAAGTTTGAGGGCTTTAAAGAATATCGTGTTCATCTACATTTCTTATTTGGTTGAAGACATACTTTTACTGGTCTTAACTGAATTTTGTATACCTAGAAGTCAAAGTCAAACAGCATCTCGTGAAAGCGAGCCAGAAGTCTCAACAGAGAGACGTGTTCAGTGTCTGCAAGATGGTCCTGTTTGGTACATGAATTGGCCACACTTGCCTCTGCTGGTTTTGAAATTCCATGTTCTCCTCTGTATGTTTTGGCAATTGCATTGCTTGGCAGTGATAGGCTATCTTCTACGTATATGATAACTTCTCTTTTCCGTGTTCTATCATGGTGCAGTCTTTTGGAAAACATTTAAAGTGAGAATTAATTACCAAATTTAAAATTTACTTCCTCCTGGTATGAGCACAACTCACTCTGCAAATAGGCAAAGATTTTTTTATTTGTATTTTTTTTTGTTTGGTCCATATGTTTCAACCTAACTTCAGAATCCTTGGGATGTGAAGAAATGCACCTTTGAATCAAGGAAACAGGGCAGTGCTGTTGTAGAGTAGGTGTTCAAAACTGAGAAAGATTTCCTTAGGCCAGCCCAGAAGCCATGCTGGTGGATTCCCGAGGAACAATCACAGACTGAATTGTTGCTTAAACTAAATTTTTGACAAAATTCATCAATTCTCACTTATTTTACAGATAGAATATAATTGTCCCATGAGAGAAAATAACAGTCAAAGGGTATAAACACATTTTTCCAGAATTTGTAGTTTGATATGCTACTGTGAACCATTCACAGAGATAGGGAACTCAGGAATAAGTCAGGGAAGGGGACTGGCGATGAGTTCAGGTTGTACTCATTTGAGTCCTGGAAGGGATGCCCAGGAGGCAGTGGGATGGGGAGCTGTTTAGCTCAGCAGAGTGAGCTAAACTACAGTAGTAGATCTTTGAGATCATATGTGAGCTACTGAAGTAGATTAGATAGTCCAGCTGTGTAAGAATAGAAAAACCTAATTGATCCAGTAGCATTTATTGAAAATACTCTCCTCTTTCAATGTACTTTAGTGGCATATTGTCATAAGTCAGGTGATCATATATGTGTGGATCTGTTTCTGAGACCTTTATTCTGTTTCATTGGTTAATTTTTCTCGTCTTCAACCAATACTATACTCTTAATTCTTTTAGTTTTATAAGAAGCCTTGATATCTGGTGTGTAAGTTCTCTAAATTTGTTCTTTGAGACTTTCTTGGCTACTTAT